GAGAGATATGTACATATGTATTATAAAATTCTGTGTCTGTGTGTGCGTTTGAAATGTTGTGAGTAAAGTCATAGTTTTGTGCTGAGAGACGAAATTTTTGGATTCTACTGGCGGCTTGTGAAAAAGTTGCCTCTTTTGAAGCTACAGATAGGCTCCCAGCGAAACCGCGGGAAAAGTTGATTTTGCACTAAAATATGTGATTGGTTAAAATTTGACCAATCGCTAAATTTGTACTAACGAAACAAGTAAGCAAGTTCACAACCGAAAAATTCAAAGCAACGACTGCGATGGCTAAATTGTCCTATAGAAAGGCAGTATTGATTTATTAGCCAATCGCAGACGAATATAATGTGGGCGTGGAAAAACATAGCAGTCGTTACACCATCAAGATATCCTTGGTCATACAACACCGCACACAAAACCACACACAACACCGCCTCGTGTAGTCGCTAATTATACACTGGACTGGAAACGTGTATTGTCTGATGAGCCACTTCTCCAATTGTTTCGAGCTGATGACAGGGTTTGGGCATGGTGTGACTCCATGAAGTCATGAACCCGAGTTGCTAACAACGTTATAAGAAATTGTTCGCGAAGTTTTGGTCCTTCTAAGCACATCATTGACTGGTGACCGCTACGAGATCATTTGCACCTATTCATGAACTGCATGTGTCCCAATAATGAGGAGTTATTCAAGTAGTATAGCACACGATGTGTCATCAAGTCTGAAGAGTATTCTAATCTGATAAAATAGACAACACGTTCGCCTAACATAAGACCAATGGCGAATGTATGAGATATGTTAGAGTGAAGTCTATTCACACGCAAAAAGATCTATAGACATGTATCGAAATGGTATTGCTCAACATCTCCCAAGAGGCCTTCCAAACACTTGTAGAATCGATGCCATATAGAGATACTGCACGTAACCTAGCGAGAAGTGGTCCGACACGATACTAAGCATCTCTCCCAGGACTTATGTCAGTATATTACCCTCAGAAAAATAGCCAACCAAAAACCATCAGTTGCTAGTAACAGAATAGCTTCCTGGCGGGGTAATAAATTATGAAGCTTGGCTTAGTTTTAGAAGAAAGAAAGAAAAAAGAAAAAAATATCAGTAATAAAAGTTTCAGTTGAGTAACCACGCTTTAAGTAGTGAAAAATTACAATCAGAGTGCTATGGTATGTGTTCCGTCCTTTTATGTCGAAAATCCTAAGTAGACACCACAAATAAGCAGTTATCCATTGAAGATTAGAAAAGTAATACCCACTGAACAAAAATGATGATAAAACGATCAATGAGAACTACAGAAATATATTGAAACAAAAGAAAAACATATAAATAAGATAGATTGATAGATTTATATTTCTAAAAAACCTCAATCCAAGATTACCTAGAAACCTCAATCCAAGATTACCTAAAATATTTATTATTCTAAGGATTATACATTTTATATCTAATACTTTGAAATGGAAAGGAAAATTCACTTCAATAAGAGAAGTTCTAGTTAAGATCAGTACAAAAGTATTCATTCTCTAATGAAATTTTAAAAAAATTCACTAAAACTCAAAATTCATTCACGATATGACCGAGTTTAATTTGTTTGGGAAGCCAAAAAAGAATAGTTCGACAATAGTTCATCAACTGAATAGAAAAAGTCAACTGAAAAGAAAAGACTGATTATCGTAGGTTCCGGCTAATTCTGTCAAAGTGTTTATAATGAAGCCTAGAAATACTAACAAAAAGCCAAACTGGCACACATTACAAAAGGACAAATCAGTTTTGTTAAGATTCAAACACAAAGACAGAAAATAAGTATGTTGAGAACCATAGACGAAAAAAAAAAACAGAAGATAACCGGGCAATTAACATCTCAGGCATGATATACCATCCGTAATAATAGCAACTGAAAATAATTATTGTAAAATTGGTTCAAAACAAAACACCTAGAATTTAAAAAGAAAAAAAAAACTTACTTATGTGTAGAGAAAAATGCCATGTAAAAAATAGTATTCAAATAATTTGATAAAGGGCTATACACTAAAAATTAAACACAAGAACTATGTGTTAATTTAAAAAAAAGTAAAGTTATATAGGCTACCATATTACTTGCCTTCAGAAGAAAAAGAAAACGCAAGTTATTTTGAAAGAAAGATTAATCATTGTCCAGACGAGAAATATTGCTATTCTTTCAAAGTATGCATTCCAGTTTAAATATTTTAGTACATTCTTACTATAAATTGCATTTTCTATCACATTTTATCTTCCATATTAATCTATTAATCCTTTTTTCTTCTTTCTTTCTTTCTTCTAAAACTAATAAAACTTATACTCTTCATTGTATGATAGCTTAATTTACAATCTGAATGATTTTGAAAAGTTTACTAAGTGAACAAAAGATCAAAGCCTAAAATTGATAGCATTAAGACACAGTTATTACGATGGTTATATAATCACTACCACTACTACTACCACCACTCAAGTAAAAAAGGAATAAGAAAAAAGAGGTTATTTGTCAGCAAATACCCAAGATATGAAATACGATTTAAAAACTTTAGGATACTTTTTTATTTCCTATATACGCTACTTATTTTGAAGTTTATTTAAATTAGTCACCTGAGTGTTAAGATGAGAATAAAAACTAGTAAAAAAAAGTTTTACTAATTTTAATTCCATTGTTCAGAGCAACAAATTTGTTTTCAAGTTAATAAAGGGAATTCATTGCGTAAAAAGGTTGTAAGAGTTATTTCCCTTGCATCTTTCTTCCTGATTTCCTGTGGCGTGTCAGATTTTATAATGTAAGTCAATGTTTTCAAAAAATTGGTATTGAAATTTGTAGGTTTCTTTCATAAAACACTTCCTTCACGTACCCGTTCTATCTTTGGGGTATTTTTCCTTTTCTTTTATCAGTGTTCCTTTCTTTGAATTTATACAGCCTGTTGAACTCACTTGTTTTCTGTTATGTACATTTGCTTTATCTCCTTTCTATTATCGCGCATTGAGTCATTTCTCTTTTCCTTTAGCCTACCGACATTTGTATCAATTTCTGTGTTGAGTTTTCTGTAGTCTTGTCTATTCCTTGGCATTGCTTTCAACATCTCTAGAATTTCATCTGTCGTCCACTTGTCTGATTTTCTTTGAAATGATCTTATTCGTCGATACGCAACTAAACATGTTACACTTTGTAGTCTCGATCAGGTTGTATTTGCTTTTAACTTTAACTGGGCTTGAGGGATCGGAGTAAGGCTGCCAACCTGCTCCGTGGCCTCTTGTCGTTCGGAGTGGATGTCGCTGATATCCAAGAGACCCACTTTGTTTGCAGCGTCGATGCGTGTGTGCTGTCTAACGACTTTGTCGTCTATTCAGCATATGGGGACCGACATGCCACAGGAGTTTTTTTTTTTTTTTGCTTGTTAGCCGTACCCTGGATTCTAAGGAGGACCTTGTGCATACCGATGCCGAGTCTCAATGGGGGACTGGAATGCCGTCCTGAATCCCAAGTTAGATAGGGGGTGGGGAGTTAGTGGGAGCAGTGGGGATCGTAGCCTGGTTGATCTGATCAACGATTTTGGTCTCGTTGATAGATACCGGGTCGATCACCTCAGTAGGGAAGATGTGGACGTGAGTCCTTAATTGGCTGTCTACCCAGGTGGTTAGCTACCTTGATATAATGTTAGAAGAGCCGACGTAGACTTGTTAGATTGCCCTACTTTCACTGGGTATGCTATTCGGACCACAAACTCGTTTGTGCCTGGATGGCGTTAGATGGTAGCCCTAGAATGGCTGGCTACTGGAAGTTAAATCTGTCTTTACTGGACAGGCGGACTTCCAGGAACAGCTAACTAGCCTAGTACAGCGGGAGCTAATGGTGGCGGTTATCGGGAATAGTTGATGGGATGGACTTACTTAAGAATAGGATTAGGTCCTTCACCACCGAGTTTAGCAAACGGCTCGCATTAGATAGAGCTAATAAGATGAAGGCTCTTAGTTTTTCCCGGGCAGTGGTCGGGGAGGGGGGTCCCCTAGAGATAGCCTTAGCTAGGGAGCCCTGAAGCATTCGAATAGCGAGCGCTACATGAGCCAGGTAATTAATAGGTTAAGCAAGATGTCTTCCGAGGCGGTAAACATGGGCGCAAAATTGCGCAAGGGAGAGATCCGACGAGGTTCCGGTTGTTACATTCGTGAAGTCAAAACCCCGGAGGGGCATACTCTTCGGGCCACTGACGATATGTGCGTGGCGTTTCGGCGGCATTTTGAGAGCCGGTTTACCAAGGAGTCTGGTCTCCGTGACGAGGAGATTCGTAGCTATGTGGCTGACTTTCCTCCAGTAACTGTTCCAATGTTTTAAAACTATCTAAAATCCTTATTTAAATATGTCAAATTCTTTTAATTTGAAAATAAAAAAAATCTAACTTCTTGACTGCCGTTTACTTGGCCTATGGTCCTGGAGAAAGACAGTTGACAACAGAACTACTTAAATTAATAGAAGTGTAGCGTTTTTGACGGTCTCTAAATCAACCCGTACACTTTATTTGACGAATGTGTAAGCAAACGAAAAGCAACAAGAGAAAGAGCACAAAAAATAACTTTTTATAAGAAGAACAATATTTATATTTTATGTATATAAAAAGGTATACATGAATAATTAATAGGAGTTACTTCCCTTCGACTAGATTTTTAAAGTCTGAAGAAATAATGACCGTGATGACTGATTTTACGCAGGAACGTGTCTTTATCTAACACCGGTAGTAATTCTATTTCTGCGTATTCAGCCCTGAGAGTATGGCGGCTTTGTTTACCGAATGTTATAAAACTTTAAAAACTATGACTGGAAACTACAAAACACGCATCAGAAAAGCAAAATGTTGTTCTTATGATTGCATCGATATGGTAGCTTAACTGAAGTTATTAATACGTTTCTAAACGTCATTTTTAGTGTTTCAGTTTCAATATTCTCTTTTTCTTTTATTTCTGTTATTATTAAGTTTTTAAGGAGATAATGTCTTTTCCGGATGATAGTCCTAAAAAGATGAAACAGGGTTTACTAATCCCTTTACGCGAGGGGTTATCTAAAGATTTGTGTGAAGATCGAGGTTCGAGATCTTCGCTTTCGGAATATCGTGCGACGAAGAAAAGAAATCGATTACGACTTCACGATCGGAATTCAGTTAATGATAAAGATGGTTGGGGCGAACAGGTAGGTAACTAACAAAATTCTGTACTTATTTCATCATTCATATCTCATTTGAATTATCAATGAACAATAACGTCATTGTGTACAAAAGTATCATGGATTGTTTTGTTTTTCTTTTAGTATCAACAAGTCACCACATCCGGCCGTTAGTCCAACAATAACATTTCACGTCATCAACGAAAAAGGAAAAAAAACTGATACCTTTTTTAATTACTTTTTTATATATAATAAATTAATAAAATGTAACATTTCCAAAAACATTTGGTCGGCTTGTGATAGATTTGCATAATTGAAAAGAAAGGAAAACTTTCATTTTATATTTTTCCTAGCACATAGATGATATCGATGTATTTTTTATGTTATACGAGAGATTTTTTTCTCAACAAAAACAATGGTTCAGCTTTAGGTAAAAGTAAAGCAAATGAGACTATTCACAACATAAAAAGTACAAATTAAATAGATTATCAAGTTTTGAAAAAAAAAAGATTGACTATGTTATTGGAATTGGACAATGGACATTATCTTTCTCTACTGTGCCATTAAAAGTGTAGAAAGTTTTTTCTTTTAAGTATTTTTTTTTCCGTGGATCAAAAACTCTTTGTTCGAATTTGTTTACTTTCTTTTTTTTTTTTTTGATTGTTGCAATTGTATCCGCAAAACGAGAATTGTTTTGGCAAAATTGTCTTTATCTTTCTTTCTATACTTACTTCCTTTAGCTATGATGCAATATGTTTTTTCGTTGTTCAAATTACAATAAGGCGATCCTTTGCATACTTTTTTTACTTTAGTTGACTGAATAAGATTTTTATTTAAACGAAAATTGATAGGAAATTACTGGAATAATTCATAAGATCTAAAAATATAAGAAATGAAAAATAATTTAATTAAAAATTGAATATAAAACAATAAAAAATACAATGAATAATAAACTATTTATTTATTGCTCTTTCTGTTTGAGGGGAGATTACAAAAATTGAAAAATTTATAGAAAAAATAAAATAAATGATTAACAAAAAAGCGAAGATAAAAAAATAAATAAATAAGTTTTTTACACTTGCTTTAATTTTAAGTGACGTGTTAAAATAATTTAAATGAAAGCCAGACTGCTAGTCAAAATAAAAATGACTAATGAATTTTTGTGTAACATCTTTTTTTTTGTTTTTTATTTTTCCTAAAAATAAAAAACGAATGGCTCAAAAAGAGGCTATAGTGATAGAAAAAGAAAAAGATCACTATTTCAAAAAAAAGATAAATAAAGAAAGTTAAAAGTTGGCAAACCATTTTGGTTTGCCATAAAGAAATAAAAAAAAGAAAGAAAAGAGGCCTAAAAAGGTTATTATTCCTAAAATAGGTAAAGTAAAAATGGATTGTCAAATGAGTCATTTCTGGAACCAATTAAAATCAAGAACAATTTGGGAATGAAAAAAAAAGTGTCAACACAGGTAGTGACGGACAGGCAAAAACGGACCAGACCAGCCACAGAAAAGAATTTCATCCGCTGTCCCTTACCTCAAGCTTTGGACACCTAAAAATTCTAGAGAGAGTCACAAGAATTACTGCTATCAAGAAATACTTACATATCTAACATACACATTAACAAAGACTCAACTCCTCTTTCTCTTATGTAGTGAAATAGGAAAAAAAAATTTAGAAATTATCCCTTCAAGATTTAAAAAATAGCCTGTTGAAATATAGGGACAATGAAACACAAAAGTGAAATGAAAGTATTGCTCACAGCCAAAAACCTTTATGTCAAGGAGTTTTCTCTAAGGAGAAAAGCCTTGAAACACATGACCTTTTAACCATAATATCACTTACGATACACCATACTAAAAGCAAAATATTTTGACACACAAAAAAAATATCTTTAATTATGTTAGGTTTGGGATTTGTATTAAGATTTTAGTTTTTGCTTAGTAAATATAGTCTAAGTTAATAACTTAATAACCTACCTTGTACTCTGTTTGGAAGAATTTTAAAACATTTTTTAAACTAAGAAAAGTGAAAACAATTCTTGAAAAATTAAAGAAAAATGCATTCAATTATTCATTGAAAAAAATTTTTTTCTTCAGACAATAATGTCCTTAATGTATATTATTTATAAAAGTTTATTTAATTAGATAGTTTTATTGCAGTTTTTATTTAACGATTTCAAGAAGATTTTTAAAAAGTTGGGAGTAGTTGTGAAAAAAGAAGTGATGATTTACTTTCTCCAAGCAGTCCTACTTATAAGTAATATAAAACAGTTTGTGAACTATTTGAAATTCTTAAAAATTTCATAAAACTAAGTTGTGGAGGCGGTAAT